TAAGATCCTTGTACAATACACTGCTGACTTCAGGCCAGACCTCTCTTTTGAGTTCACTCATCTCACTGCTCATCACAGGCAGCTCTCATCTCAGCCCTCAACAACCACATCCCCTAAACCGGTGTTTCTTAGTTGGTTGAGCAGTGCCTAACATCTGGAGTTCTGGTGTGGCTGCAAGGTCGGTTTGAACTGCAAGGTCGGCGGTTCAGGCTCACCAGCAGCTCCTCAAAGACCCTATACACGGTCGCTATAAATCAGAAGCAACTCAACAGCACTTAGCAACAGCAACCTGACATCTATTCAAAACAGAAAATGAGAACCCTTATATAACACCTCAGGTCTTCCTTTTGCCTTTTAGATCCCTAGGAACCTCACCTACTCCTCCAAAGCCATTGCTGTATCCCTGGATTCATCAGGACCCACCTACTCCACCGTGGGTTACCACAGCAGTCTCCTACTGCTCCGTCAGCTCCTAGAACGCGGGCACGTTCACCACTCACTTCAAACTAGCCAATGGCCCTCCACTGCCCTCGGCTACAGGTCAGAAATCCGCAGTCTCGCTGCCTACAAATGTTTCAACTAGCTAGTTCCTAGTTTTTCTTTGAGTCTCCACATGGAGTACATCGGCTTTACACCATCATTTCACTGCAACAATTACAATCTCCTCCATGCATTATCATTCAACAATATTTGCTTACATTCCTCTGTTTTCTTTTTTGGGGGTGGGGTGGGGATGGGGGGGGTATACACACAAACACTCAAGAACATATAATCATTTAAACAGCCAAAAGGCACATTCTGCAAGCCTGCCCCCTGGCCGCCAGCACACAACCTTTCACTTTCCATGGATCTAGAGTCCTCAGCTGCTCTCTCTCTCCCTGTCATCATCCCTGCCTTCCTCTCTGGTGTTGCTGCTTCTCGGGACAGGGTCCCGCACTCCACTTGTGCTCTTCTCCCTTGATGGTCCAAGGGTCCTTTGCTTCTGGACTGTAAGATTAACTATGCCCCCATTTTTGTTACAAAACTTCGACCTTTACAGTAGTGAGTCGCAATTAGTCATGATAACGAGTGTCCACTTATTTAAATCACTTCTCCTCAGGAAGCCTTCTCTGACCTCTGAAGTCGGACACTTTCATTATAAGAATACTTCTTTTAGCTGCTACGTTTATTATTTTCCATTAAGACTCACTTGTTCTCTTGTCTGCATCTCTCAGTAGACAGGAGTTAAATCTGTAAATTATCCTCCACTGTTTAGCCTTGTGACTAGGAAAGAGAAGGTTCTCACATACATACGAGGTTACTGAAAATACCACGGCTTGGGTTCTCAAACTGACATGTTTGCTCTTGACCACTATAAAGAAGTCCTGTGATTTCCTGAGACCGCTCTCCCACACTGTAGTCACCCTGCCACTCAGGATTCGTCCTTTACGTCCCCGGGTTTTTAAAATAGACCCCAGCTTAGAAATCACGCTCTGGGTTTGTCTGCTTTCCTAATTCAGCAAATGACCCCATAGGACACGCCAGACAACAGCTCAGCAGGCATATGTTTTCTGAAGTGATCAGATGGTAACCAAGAGCTGTGAAAGACTGTGGTAGAAACAGCTACTTTCTTTAGACGGTGGAAGACACGGAACAGGTTACAAAGCTGGAAAGCAGTAATGGAAGGGTGATTTCAGGGAGCATTTGGTACCTAAACAAGACGGATTGTAAAACACAGACAGTCATGAGCTTAAGGAGGAACCAAGCTTCTAGGTGCTTCAGTTTCCTGGCGGCTTTCAGCCCAGTCAGGAGAAGAAAAAGTTGTGGCACTATTCTGGGCACCATCAAGTCTTGGGCACTCCAGAGTGAGAATGGAACATGGTGAGGAAGTCAGCATGAACTACGGTAAGCATTTTAGATAATTTACCCTTTCTCACGATGTTGAAGTAACTGAGGCAGAGAGCTCTCTGCCACTAAGTAAACTTACAATCAAACATCAGTTAACTTATTTAATTGTAACAAACACTTTTGGCTTTAGAATCATTTGGTAGGCTTTAGTGATCACACTTTCAGATAGGAGAAGCATGACCAAATTATGAATTATGCACAGTAGTTAAGTCTTTGGAAGTGGAGATTTGAATCTGTGACAAATGGAGAAATATCCAGCTGTCCTGATGCTTTTCACGGCATACCGCAAAACAAGGCCTTTAACACAAATTCTACAACTGCATTCTAACAGTCCGGTTTTTAACATCTCCACAAAGAGTTATCACTTTTCCAAAGAAAAATAAAAATACTGCGTTGTTGTTAAGTGCCATTGAGTCGGTTCCAACCCATAGCAATCCTGTATAGGGTTTCCAAGGAGCAGCTGGTGAGCTTGAACTGCCGACAGTGCAGTTCAAACGGCTTTGCAGTCTGGCACATTAACCCACAGCGCTACACCAGGACTCCTAAAATACTGTGGGGGGCAGTTGGGGACAGTTAATTGAACTATCTGGGGGAGGAGTTTGGGGTAGAGTCATTACAGTTGATCAGTTACTCATTTAGCCAATGTTGTCTTATAGACATGAAAGTGACGAGAGTTAACTAAATGATGACGTAGCCATTCAGACATTCATTACACATCAGGATGAAGGTGCCACACTCTGACGAAAGCATTAGACTTGTGCTTGCAGCTCTGTTGTGGACAGTAGTTGGCTACTGATGTCACTTCTTCTTAGTGAGGTGGGCTACATTTCCTAGCCACAGGCAGACCAGGCAAATAAGCTGTCTGTCCAGGAACTCTGGGACTCCCTGACACTGGTTTCTGGGAGTTAGCTACACTTTTTAAAACACTGTTTTAAAATCCATCTTGCTTTCTAGAGAAGAAATCATGAAGTGTTTCATCCATGTAAAGAATAGGTACAGGTTTTGTTGGCCCTGCGTATCTGTTGCTAAAGCAGAAGACTACCATCGAGCCTCACTCAGTGCTTGCTAGTCGTTGAAGCAGGCGGCACAGCGCTGAAGAAGCTCACTTACTGGGCTTGCCTGACTTTCTTCCGCGGCTGCGCTCTTCTCACTCCAGGCCCATCAATTCAGTATCACTGATTCAGCTGTAATTTTCATGCTACACCGGCGAAATCTCTAATTCCTGCCCAATCAACACCAAACCAAACCGAAATACACACAGACAGGGTACACTATTGCTGACAACAGTTCTGTGGCATTCTACCTGGGTCTTTGAGAAAAAGCTATCATAAGACAGTTTAAACAGATGAGCATCTGAAGTGTTACCCAGGAGAAAGGGGGCAGCAATAATACACTATACATTATGCCCTATACCTCCAACTGGGGCGGAGAGGCCTCCTTCTACTAACGCATGGCAACTACTTGTCTCTAACGCTGGTACATTTATTTACATTTAATTTCTTTCTTTCTTTTTTTTTTTAAGTTCAATTAAATCAAGGAAAACTAATGAAGTCGCAGAAACCTCAGAAAATGTATCTATTCCCTTTACTTCAGCTTCCCTAATATTTGGTCTTTCCCCAAAGACTGTAACATATCACATTGCTCCTTCTTTGGTAAGAATGCTGAATCTGCTACTAAGGTCTTAACCTGTAACTGTTGTTGTTGTTGTTAGGTGTCCTTGAGTTGGTTCCGACTCACTGAGACCCTGTATAGGGTTTCTGACGAGTGGCTGGTGAGTTTGAACTGCCAATCTTGTGGTTCAAACCAACCTAATGGGCAAGTACTTATCCTACAGGTGCCACACCTGTAATTTACTGGTGAAAAAAAAAATTACAATTTTTTTAAGGACTAAGATTTCTCAAAAAATAGCTGCCTTTCTGTGGTAAGCAACACTTGAGTCCAGTTCAAATATGTCTTGGGGCATCTCTTGCTTAGAAATGCCCTGTATTTGTGGATACCATGACATCTTTACCTATCTTTCATAATCAACTGGTCTTGAATCCATTACTCTCAGAAGTCATGCTCTTGCACTTAAGACACACATGAAACTAGACCTCAAATCTTTCTTGCACTTAAGACACACATGAAACTAGACCTCAAATCTTTCTTGCACTTAAGATACACATGAAACTAGACCTCAAATCTTTGTTTATCCTTCATGAATCAACCTGGCTTAGTTACCGTGTAGAATGTCCTCGGAGGAAGTTTGTCTGGGGTCTCCTCATGTCTAGGTCCAAGCTCGGAGACAGTTCTGTCAGGAATACTACGCTAATATCACTGTGCCCTTCTCATCATATCAGCACTGTCCTGTCACTGGTGACGGTAACGCTGGCCGCCTGGCTATGATCGTGTTCATCAGACTACTCTATCAACAAGCTCATGTAAACAAAGATCAACGAGGTCTTCCAGATGAAACGTGGGCTACAGAGACACGACTACTAAATGCAACTGATGGTGCCGGACTGGATTTTGGGGCCAGAAGAAGGTGAGATAATCGGAGAAATGTGGGTAAGGTCTGGAAGTCAGAAGGCAGAACTGCATCACTGTTAACTTCCTGGTGCGGAGAATAGCACCTTGGGAATGTTAAGAGAATATTTTTGCTATGAGGAAATACACACTACAGGATTTGTAAGTCAAAGAGTACTTTTATCTGTGACTTACTCTCAAGTGTCTCAGAAAAGTCTTAAGAGGGGAGATGAAGAAAGGGAGATTGATAAAACAAGTGTCATGTTAACATCTGGGGCTCTGCATAAAACATGTAGTATTTTGTCATACTCTTTTTCCAACTTTTCTCAGGGTCTTAACTTGTTTCAAAATCAAGACTTAACAAATATGTATCAGGTTTAGGTCCAAGAGCATAATGAATTGAGGAGATTTTAGCTAGTAAAAGGAAGAAGGTCCTAAAGCCGAACTCAAAAGACGTCAGGTTCTGTGTCAATGCTGAGTCATGCATTCAGGGAAAGAGGCAGAAAGAGTCTGAAAGTTAAGGTTACAAGACCTTAAAGTAAGAAATATAAGCTGGTGAGTTTATCCAAACATATGCGTTTGATAACAACAAAAAGACATGTACTCACTGTCCAATCCGGGATGGCTAATGGTCATTAATGAGATGGATTTTGTCAATGGAGAAGAAATGGCTGATGTACAGTAATTAAATCCCTGTTGTTTGGATCTGTGACTCGTCTGTGAAGTAAAAAATGGAAAACAGGTTTTGAGCACATATGCGTCTCTATTTTTGTTGTTGTCGTTAAGTATCGTTGAGTCGGTTCCGACCCATAGCGACCCTGTAAAGGGTTTCTGAGGAACAGCTGGTGAACTTGAACCACCGACCTTGCAGTTCAAACCGAGTTTGCAGTCCAGCATATTAACCCAGAGCGCCACACCAGGGCTTCAAAATTTAAACACAGAGAAGTAATGCAGGGTAGAAGGGGGGCTAAAAGCACCGACTTTAGAGTCACACGGACATGAATCCGACTTGAGTAGCTTTTCAACTTCGGAGAAGTCTTTGTGCCTCTCTCTTCTCAGAGAAGCTAAACAACATCTCTTTTCTGAGCTGTAAAACGCAGATGGAGTATTCATTCATTACAGAGCTTTTACGCCTTTGTTTTCTTTACAACACCTAACGGTGTTTCAAACATCAGTGTTTCATAAATAATAAACATCCAGTGAAAGATCAGATAAAAACAATTTCACTTTAAACTAGAAATTGTCTTTTGAAAAATCAAAATATCCATTTCAGAGATAGAAAAATATACAAGTCAATGTTACTCTGATTTTTCATGACTTGGAGACTGAAATGCAAATAAAAATTATCCCATGACCAAAAGCAAAACAATCGTACATCTGGAAAGAAGCAAGTCACTTTATTTTTTTTTCTAAATTAGGTGACTGACATTTGGCTGGTAAATTATTGGCCTCAGTAAATTCACATAATTTAACAACTGCTGAAGTTCCCACTACAGAACCCCAGAATGGGAGTCAGCCAGCCCTGCTAGCAAACCTTTGGCAATGAGGGGCTCCCTCCCTTCCCCTTTAGTTTAGAAGAAGCCCCAGCCCAAGAGTTAACTAACTTTGATTGTCATCAACACATTCCCTTTATTATCCATTCTGACTCTTAGGGACCCTAGACAACAACAGCTTTCGAAGGCTGTCATCTTTATAAAGAGGGCTATCACATCTTTCTCCTGTTGAGCAGCTGGTGGGTTTGAACCACTGGCCTTTTGACTGGAAGTTGTGTGTTTAACCATGGCATCACTAGGGCTCCCGCATGAGGAAAGGGAAGCAATGAAAACCTGTTACTAGTATGAACCTGGCTCAATTGCACCTAAGACTTAGGATGACTTAATAGCATGTTCCACGTGTAACCATGCAGTGTGAAGACAGCCGACGGCTGGGTTCCGAGGGTAATCGTGCGTCTGATAAATGGCCATGCTGAAGAGCAGGAGCCATTCCAACCTTCAACAGGAAGCTGGCTGCAGGCAGCTTGGCAGATCGGTGATACAAGCCACTCAGACTGTCACTCTGCAGCTGCAAATGTGGTGAAAATGTATCGGAGGGCAGAGAGTTCTGGGAAAGCTAAACACAGGGAAGTGCAACAATGTCACCCAGAGAGATTAAATAAAAACTCAGCTCCGACGGACACCACTGGTAATAACCACTGCTTACTGAAATGATATCACATAAAAAAACATTAGAAAAGTAAGACTTTCTCATTTCCTCATTAGCAGGAGCTCTGAGTTTAATAGTGTTCAACTCCCAGCCAGTTACATGGCCTCAGACAGTCATACAACTTGGCTTGAAGTTCTCACATACAAGGGTTTGAGCTGAAGCCAAATGGATACACATTGGCTCCAAGTCTAAGATTCTGTCTACAAACTGACAATTTTGGTATTTATCTGACTTCCAAAAGATTCTATTCACAGAAATTTGTTTTTCAGCATTTCCAGTGGTGTGTTTAAACATATTATCAAAGCTGTTTTAAGTAGCCACCAAAAAAAAAAAATCCCTACTTTTTCCTTCCCTTTTCTGTTATCACTGTTGTTAAGTACCATTGAATCGATTCCGATCCATAGCGACCCTGTACAGGGTTACCGAGGAGCAGCTGGTGAGCTTGAACCACCAACCTTGCAGTTCAAATGGCTTTGCGGTCTGGAGCATTAACTCACAGCGCCACACCGGGACTCCTTTGTTATCACTAGGCTAAAGAAACCAACTTGTTCCTATTAGCAGACTCTCCATAGTCCTACTTTTCCCCTATTGTTATTGTTGCTATGTGCCGTGGGGTTGGTTCCGACTCATAGCGACCCTGTATAGGGTTTCTGAGGCTGTAAATCTTTACAGGAGCAGAACACCTCATCTTTCTCCCATGGAGCAGCTGGTAGTTTCGAACTGCTGACCTTAAGGTTCACAGCCCGATTCGTAACCACTACACTACCAGAGCTCCTTTCTGGATCTAAAGTATCAGGCAAAGATGAAATGGAAAACAAACACAAAGGCGGGAAATTCTTTCAATTTGATTTTCATTTGATCTAAATTCTTTTAGACCCTCACGCGAACATAAATGCCACACTCATTACTAAAATAATCCTTCAGTGTCAGAATTCTATCTGACAGCAGTATGATACGCCGTTAGGTTGTTTGTTGTGAAGTATCATCCAGTTGATTCTGACTCATAGTGACCCCGTCTAACAGGGGTAGGAAAGCTTTCGATGCCAACATTTCTAACATCATTGGCAAGTGATTAGCCTGTTACATTTGGTGTGGTGATGTAGGATAAACACAGGAATGCAATGTTAATTTGAACCACAGGTTTGGCGTCTCAAACTCACCAGTACCTCCTCGGAAACCCTATATTAGGTCACCATGGGTCGGGCCCGACTCGACGGTACTTAACAACTA